AAGTATTCTGTAAGATTTAATTGTTTCCCTTCATATAAGCCAGGTATGCCCATGTATGTGCGTGGTAAGTGTATGCCTAACAAAGTATTCTGTAAGATTTAATTGTCTCTCCTTCATATAAGCCAGGTATGCCCATGTATGTGCGTGGTAAGTGTATGCCTAACAAAGTATTCTGTAAGATTTAATTGTTTCCCTTCATATAAGCCAGGTATGCCCATGTATGTGTTTGGTAAGTGTATGCCTAACAAAGTATTCTGTAAGATTTAATTGTTTCCCTTCATATAAGCCAGGTATGCCCATGTATGTGTTTGGTAAGTGTATGCCTAACAAAGTATTCTGTAAGATTTAATTGTTTCCCTTCATATAAGCCAGGTATGCCCATGTATGTGTTTGGTAAGTGTATGCCTAACAAAGTATTCTGTAAGATTTAATTGTTTCCCTTCATATAAGCCAGGTATGCCCATGTATGTGTTTGGTAAGTGTATGCCTAACAAAGTATTCTGTAAGATTTAATTGTTTCCCTTCATATAAGCCAGGTATGCCCATGTATGTGTGTGGTAAGTGTATGCCTAACAAAGTATTCTGTAAGATTTAATTGTTTCCCTTCATATAAGCCAGGTATGCCCATGTATGTGTTTGGTAAGTGTATGCCTTACAAAGTATTCTGTAAGATTTAATTGTTTCCCTTCATATAAGCCAGGTATGCCCATGTATGTGTGTGGTAAGTGTATGCCTAACAAAGTATTATGTAAGATTTAATTGTTTCCCTTCATATAAGCCAGGTATGCCCATGTATGTGTTTGGTAAGTGTATGCCTAACAAAGTATTATGTAAGATTTAATTGTCTCTCCTTCATATTAGATAGATATGCCCATGTATGTGTTTGGTAAGTGTATGCCTAACAAAGTATTCTGTACGATTTAATTGTTTCCCTTCATATAAGCCAGGTATGCCCATGTATGTGTTTTGTAAGTGTATGCCTAACAAAGTATTATGTAAGATTTAATTGTCTCTCCTTCATATTAGATAGATATGCCCATGTATGTGTTTGGTAAGTGTATGCCTAACAAAGTATTCTGTAAGATTTAATTGTTTCCCTTCATATAAGCCAGGTATGCCCATGTATGTGTTTGGTAAGTGTATGCCTAACAAAGTATTATGTAAGATTTAATTGTTTCCCTTCATATAAGCCAGGTATGCCCATGTATGTGTTTGGTAAGTGTATGCCTAACAAAGTATTATGTAAGATTTAATTGTCTCTCCTTCATATTAGATAGATATGCCCATGTATGTGTGTGGTAAGTGTATGCCTAACAAAGTATTCTGTAAGATTTAATTGTTTCCCTTCATATAAGCCAGGTATGCCCATGTATGTGTTTGGTAAGTGTATGCCTAACAAAGTATTCTGTAAGATTTAATTGTTTCCCTTCATATAAGCCAGGTATGCCCATGTATGTGTTTGGTAAGTGTATGCCTAACAAAGTATTCTGTAAGATTTGATTGTTTCCCTTCATATAAGCCAGGTATGCCCATGTATGTGTGTGGTAAGTGTATGCCTAACAAAGTATTCTGTAAGATTTAATTGTTTCCCTTCATATAAGCCAGGTATGCCCATGTATGTGTGTGGTAAGTGTATGCCTAACAAAGTATTCTGTAAGATTTAATTGTCTCTCCTTCATATAAGCCAGGTATGCCCATGTATGTGTTTGGTAAGTGTATGCCTAACAAAGTATTCTGTAAGATTTAATTGTTTCCCTTCATATAAGCCAGGTATGCCCATGTATGTGTTTGGTAAGTGTATGCCTAACAAAGTATTATGTAAGATTTAATTGTCTCTCCTTCATATTAGATAGATATGCCCATGTATGTGTTTGGTAAGTGTATGCCTAACAAAGTATTCTGTAAGATTTAATTGTCTCTCCTTCATATAAGCCAGGTATGCCCATGTATGTGTTTGGTAAGTGTATGCCTAACAAAGTATTATGTAAGATTTAATTGTTTCCCTTCATATAAGCCAGGTATGCCCATGTATGTGTGTGGTAAGTGTATGCCTAACAAAGTATTCTGTAAGATTTAATTGTTTCCCTTCATATAAGCCAGGTATGCCCATGTATGTGTTTGGTAAGTGTATGCCTAACAAAGTATTCTGTAAGATTTAATTGTTTCCCTTCATATAAGCCAGGTATGCCCATGTATGTGTTTGGTAAGTGTATGCCTAACAAAGTATTATGTAAGATTTAATTGTTTCCCTTCATATAAGCCAGGTATGCCCATGTATGTGTGTGGTAAGTGTATGCCTAACAAAGTATTCTGTAAGATTTAATTGTTTCCCTTCATATAAGCCAGGTATGCCCATGTATGTGTTTGGTAAGTGTATGCCTAACAAAGTATTATGTAAGATTTAATTGTCTCTCCTTCATATAAGCCAGGTATGCCCATGTATGTGTGTTGTAAGTGTATGCCTAACAAAGTATTCTGTAAGATTTAATTGTTTCCCTTCATATAAGCCAGGTATGCCCATGTACTGTATGTGTGTGGTAAGTGTATGCCTAACAAAGTATTCTGTAAGATTTAATTGTTTCCCTTCATATAAGCCAGGTATGCCCATGTATGTGTGTGGTAAGTGTATGCCTAACAAAGTATTCTGTAAGATTTAATTGTCTCTCCTTCATATAAGCCAGGTATGCCCATGTATGTGTTTGGTAAGTGTATGCCTAACAAAGTATTCTGTAAGATTTAATTGTTTCCCTTCATATAAGCCAGGTATGCCCATGTATGTGTTTGGTAAGTGTATGCCTAACAAAGTATTCTGTAAGATTTAATTGTTTCCCTTCATATAAGCCAGGTATGCCCATGTATGTGTGTGGTAAGTGTATGCCTAACAAAGTATTATGTAAGATTTAATTGTTTCCCTTCATATAAGCCAGGTATGCCCATGTATGTGTTTGGTAAGTGTATGCCTAACAAAGTATTCTGTAAGATTTAATTGTTTCCCTTCATATAAGCCAGGTATGCCCATGTATGTGTTTGGTAAGTGTATGCCTAACAAAGTATTATGTAAGATTTAATTGTCTCTCCTTCATATTAGATAGATATGCCCATGTATGTGTTTGGTAAGTGTATGCCTAACAAAGTATTCTGTAAGATTTAATTGTTTCCCTTCATATTAGCCAGGTATGCCCATGTATGTGTTTGGTAAGTGTATGCCTAACAAAGTATTCTGTAAGATTTAATTGTCTCTCCTTCATATTAGATAGATATGCCCATGTATGTGTGTGGTAAGTGTATGCCTAACAAAGTATTATGTAAGATTTAATTGTTTCCCTTCATATAAGCCAGGTATGCCCATGTATGTGTTTGGTAAGTGTATGCCTAACAAAGTATTATGTAAGATTTAATTGTTTCCCTTCATATAAGCCAGGTATGCCCATGTATGTGTTTGGTAAGTGTATGCCTAACAAAGTATTCTGTAAGATTTAATTGTTTCCCTTCATATAAGCCAGGTATGCCCATGTATGTGTGTGGTAAGTGTATGCCTAACAAAGTATTCTGTAAGATTTAATTGTTTCCCTTCATATAAGCCAGGTATGCCCATGTATGTGTTTGGTAAGTGTATGCCTAACAAAGTATTCTGTAAGATTTAATTGTTTCCCTTCATATAAGCCAGGTATGCCCATGTATGTGTTTGGTAAGTGTATGCCTAACAAAGTATTCTGTAAGATTTAATTGTTTCCCTTCATATAAGCCAGGTATGCCCATGTATGTGTGTGGTAAGTGTATGCCTAACAAAGTATTCTGTAAGATTTAATTGTTTCCCTTCATATAAGCCAGGTATGCCCATGTATGTGTTTGGTAAGTGTATGCCTAACAAAGTATTATGTAAGATTTAATTGTTTCCCTTCATATAAGCCAGGTATGCCCATGTATGTGTTTGGTAAGTGTATGCCTAACAAAGTATTATGTAAGATTTAATTGTCTCTCCTTCATATTAGATAGATATGCCCATGTATGTGTTTGGTAAGTGTATGCCTAACAAAGTATTCTGTACGATTTAATTGTTTCCCTTCATATAAGCCAGGTATGCCCATGTATGTGTTTTGTAAGTGTATGCCTAACAAAGTATTATGTAAGATTTAATTGTCTCTCCTTTATTTAGATAGATATGCCCATGTATGTGTGTGGTAAGTGTATGCCTAACAAAGTATTCTGTAAGATTTAATTGTTTCCCTTCATATAAGCCAGGTATGCCCATGTATGTGTTTGGTAAGTGTATGCCTAACAAAGTATTCTGTAAGATTTAATTGTTTCCCTTCATATAAGCCAGGTATGCCCATGTATGTGTGTGGTAAGTGTATGCCTAACAAAGTATTCTGTAAGATTTAATTGTTTCCCTTCATATAAGCCAGGTATGCCCATGTATGTGTGTGGTAAGTGTATGCCTAACAAAGTATTCTGTAAGATTTAATTGTTTCCCTTCATATAAGCCAGGTATGCCCATGTATGTGTGTGGTAAGTGTATGCCTAACAAAGTATTATGTAAGATTTAATTGTTTCCCTTCATATTAGATAGATATGCCCATGTATGTGTTTGGTAAGTGTATGCCTAACAAAGTATTCTGTAAGATTTAATTGTTTCCCTTCATATAAGCCAGGTATGCCCATGTATGTGTTTGGTAAGTGTATGCCTAACAAAGTATTCTGTAAGATTTAATTGTTTCCCTTCATATAAGCCAGGTATGCCCATGTATGTGTTTGGTAAGTGTATGCCTAACAAAGTATTCTGTAAGATTTAATTGTTTCCCTTTATATAAGCCAGGTATGCCCATGTATGTGTGTGGTAAGTGTATGCCTAACAAAGTATTCTGTAAGATTTAATTGTCTCTCCTTCATATTAGATAGATATGCCCATGTATGTGTGTGGTAGGTGTAAATGTTTGGTAATTGTAAACTGTAACGTACATAGGGCAATGTGCCTTACCTCACCATCCGTGACTTCCATAACCTCTTCATAAACCTTTTCTTGGATGTCCTGGTGAAGAGCCATTTCATAAGCAGCCCAGCTAATTGTAGTAGAGACTGAGTCATATCCAGCAAGGATAAATATGATCGCATTTGCCAAAATCACATCATCTTTAAGTCCTATTATCAAGATGTGGAAACCATGAATGATGCTTATAAATAACCGTGGTATTTTCCCAATAAATACGGCAATAATATTTTCATCAAAAAATGATAATTTGTGAAAAAATATTTTACAAGAGATATGAAAACATGAAAGTTTAGATATCCATAATGTTCAATTTGAATTTAATCAAAATAGACCAGGATCTAATAAATATTTCAGTTAGATGAATCACAACCTGGTGCATTTTATGGGACTTCAATAAACATAAAACTCAAATGGGGAAGATGTTACATTGCAAGGTAGACACTTACTTTTATCTTCATCCTCAACATCTTGGGCCTTCAGCATGAGACTCAGAAAGTCATTATGTTTCTGTAAAAGTGTATTTTTGTAACTTGCATTTTAATAATAACATGGTACTGAAGAATTTAAGCACCAGACTCATTGTACTAAGTAGGCGGGATGTGCTGCCCCGAATGACTCTGGATATCGGACCTCTGGAGTCATGGCAAATCTCAGATATATAAATATGGACATGTACTTACATTTGGATCAGCCTTTCTATTTGCTATTGCCTGAGCCATAATGTTTTTAAAGAATGCATTTGTCTCTTGTGGAATTGCTCCCATCCCAGACTTTATAACCAATGGAGCCAAAGCAGGTGCAAGCACAGCAACTAAAGTCACCAATTTTGATTGAGAGTGTTATTTTTGGTAAAGGTATTATAACATTAATATACCAATTTGCAAATTTGAAAATGGAAAAAGTCATGGTTTGTTCTTTGTCTCAACCATTAACCGTTTAATAACAAATATTTTATACATTCTTTTCAGTGTTCCATTTTTTACTTTGTTCCTTTAATTCTTCTTTCCCCTCTAGTCATTGTGCAAGCATACATGATCGTGTTTTTTTCATATGCGATAGGTGGACTTTTCCAAGTACCATCGATATTTAATGTTTAAATATGTTTCTGAATGTTTACACAGAATTTGATTACACGTAGTGTGTGTTCTTTATCCTTTGGACAAAGGACATATACAGGGTGTCCGGAAAGTAAAGATACAAATGCTCTAATTTCAAGAGATTTACCTGTTATGAGATGAAATTGCTCCAGAATGTAGAATTACATTATAACAATATATACTGCAACTGTTATGACTTTCAGTTTGAAAATGAAAAAGTTATGGTTGTTATGGTAACGGGAGTTGAGGGTAAGTGGAGCAACGTCACAACTGTGTTCTACAAATCTCTTTCCTACTCATATGATCTTGGCACTCCACCATCTATTCCTATATTATATCAAATTATGTACCACAACAGCATAGGGATTAGTAATGTAACATTATTTGATCATTTCATATTACTGCTATCATTGAATATTCAGTATTTTCCCCATTATCTATACATTCTTGGTGCATCTTGACCGGCGGTTGAAAGACCTGACAAAACCGCTGCTGTCCATCTCTCAGATTGCTGATAACATTTGCTTCCAGCTGAGTCTAATTTTTATGTTTACCTTTTTACAAATATTTCTTTCAAATGGTCATTAAGGTAGAAGTCTAAATAGGCTTTATCAGGTGAATGTGGGGCATTGTATAGAAAGGTTTAATGTCAAGACACTCCATTGTAAGATTTGTTTTTTTGCTTTGTGAATTGGTGCATTGTGGAGATGCAATATTGACTTTCCTACTTATGGCCAGGGACCATTCTTCTAGGCACTTGTATAATATTTCCTTCATTATACTGGTAAGTGACATAACATAGTTCTGATATGTAGCAATGACATCATTATATAATAGAAAACACTATGGCAGCAATAATACATTGATGAATAAAAAAACATAGATAGAAAATACAACAAAAAACACTGTTTCAAATGGTTGTCTTTTAGCAATTTTTCACTTCTTAGCGTTGTTCTGGAACTGCTCCGCATACCCCTCACATCCATAACCATAACAACCATAACTTAAACACATTAAGACTATATGGGATGAAAGTTGGTAGATATATTGTAATGTTGTTCCTCTACAATCTGTACCAATTTCATTTCAAAAAACCCAAATTTCTTAAAATAAGAGCATTTGTATCTTTACTTTCCGGACACCCTGTATGTCTTGTTTCGAAAAAAGGGAATTCTTCAAATATCCTGAAGATGACATACTTATCCCTGCGGCGACTCTGAAAAATCCAGCTTGAGAAAACTCAGCAGAATGGGTAATAAACTCAGACTTTGGATTATTCTGAACTTGTGCATCTATTCCAAACCCAATCGCTGCAACTATATCCAAAGTGCATTTTCCAACCAAACTGGAAATGGAAGAAACATGTGGTGTGATCTCAAAGGAGATGCCACCATTTATTGATACAACTCAAATTTTAGGCACTATATTTATACTGTAAATAATAATCCAAAAACAATGTGAAAGTAGTTTGTACTTCTTAAAGGTGAAAATTAAAGATGCAATCAGAACTAGAAAATTCAAATTACTCTTTGAATTCAAACATGTCATCAGCGTCCGCTCTTTCTCCCATCTTTTCTAATAGGGTATTGTTATACATGTTTAAACTTTCCATCATCTGCAACACATAAAATACAATACTCAATTTGCACCATATGAGCAAAATTAGATAGTGCTAGCACCAGTGACAAAAGGCATTGAATTGCATTGGAATGAACATGACAAAGCACAGCAAGAAAAAGAAACATTTCAGAGTCCAAACAATCAGATGGAACACGAAGCTCAAATATCCTTTAACTACTGTATTATATAAAATTATTAAACAGTTAAAACCCATCACAAAGTCGCCATAGTCCACAAAACACAATAATTCAGTTTAACAGCAAAAGTTTGAAATTCTAAATGATTGTGTTTCTTGTTTACATGAAGCTTTATACCCGTTTAATCTTGCCACTAGTGAATGCTTGGGTCATCACATTTCTTGTTTACATGAAGCTTTATACCCGTTTAATCTTGCCACTAGTGAATGCTTGGGTCATCACATTTCTTGTTGTTTTCCACTCATCATCAACTAAGTCTGTTAACATCTTGTCAATGATTGGTCCAAAAACTGCTGGCATTTTCTAAAACAAGAGAGGCTATTTGACTCATCTCTACATAAAGCCAATGCTAGTTACTTTATATGATTCTACATGTTGATTACAGAGAAGGAAATGATCTTCATGGCATTTTCATGTGCAACATGTTGCATTCATGCAATTTATTTCATATTCCAACTAGCCCTACCACTTACTCTTCTATTTTGGAAATTTGAGAATTCTTTGACCAAAACAGTTTTAAGTAGATCTCCATCAGCAATAGCTAAATTAGGGACACTTCCATCAAAGAAGCTGCAAAAACATTACTGGAACATTTATCATGTTTATAATGGTATGTGCAAATGTAAGAACACAACAACAATCAACCCGCTCCATTTGTCCCAAAAAAGGTTTGTACGCCTAGCAACAAACAGTGATTACAGAGCTCATTCCACCCCACTTTTTGAAATGTTAAAATTACTCAATGTCTTTGATATTAATAAGCAAGTCAAATGTATATTTATGTTTAAATGGAAAATGACTTGGATAATTATAGGAGTATATACCCCCGTCTTTTTACAATGGTGCACGAAAGAAATCCCTATAATACCAGAAATAGAACGACTTATGACAAACCCAAAGCTCGAACAAATTATGGCAGATCATCTTTATCCTTTTCAATACCACAACTTTGGAACAATCTACCAGAAAGACTTAAAGAAATAAAAAGTATCTATATATTTAAAAAGGAACTGAAAAAACTGTTTTTGGAGAGCTATTAATTCACTTGAAATTTTGTTTTGTTTTCTCCTCACTGCCCTCGCCATCACTCCCACCCCTTCTCTTGTGTATTCCTTTTTGTCCTCTTCTATTACTGGACATAACATATCTCTCAGTTTATCAGATTCTTATTTTTATAATCAAACACAGTTTTGATTCTTTTGGTTTGTTTGATATTTATTTATTTTTGACATAGCCTGCTGTTTACAGCTTCCATCTATCAACCTCTCATCATGTATGTTTGTATTCAATGGGTCTCTTCTCAGATGTGACAAGCAAAAAATGAACATTTGTATGGTTGAATGCAAAGACAAGTCCCCAACTGCACATTAACAGGTATGACAACACACAACTTTTATTGTAAAAATTTGTTGGGAATATACACTTTTTAAGTGTCACCCACTCATACATTGTATATTTGTGTGAATTTAAAAAAGGAAATAAACATAAAACGTTTAATTTACAATGTGTTTAATCCCAGGGCTAAATCTGATACTAACATAGACATAACATTTTATGATGGTCTCAGGTCTAATGTAAGATGAGGTCCAAAGAAGAACACAAAATTGTTCTCTAAAATCTGATTAGCTTATTGGTTGTATATGCCAACAAATGTTACAGAATTACACCTTTTAAAATACAGAATGAAGAATTAATATTTTACATTTAGAAAAAAATCTTTGTGTGTTACATTTAAGTGTTTTCCAAAGTTACATACATACGATATTTAGTTTATATTTCCTTTATTGTTTTAAATTAAACTTACCCATATACTTTGTTATTCTTATACCGTTCATACATTACCACATCTGCATCTACAAAGCCCTGGAAAATAAATCATGTTGCATTGGTATTCACTTACAGTATTTATTTCTTCAAAATGGAATGAAATGGCCACACATTTATTAAGGTTCATTTTTTAAAAAGATATATTAAGTTTTTAGTTTTTTATTATGATATGTGTTTTCAATATGTTGCCCTTTGTGTTCTACCTTAACAATGTTCTGATATAATGATTGAGGAATGGTCAACATACTTAAAATGGTCATGAATGAAGACTAACATACCCCTAAAATGATATTTAGAATGATTTGTGTAGTCAAACGTAAATGAACTGAATGACCTTAGTTTTAATCCATATGTAACTTTATTATGTGTTCATAATTGACAAAAGTAACTATTTCCATATTATTTTCAATGAAACCTTTGGGGGCACCTTTAGGTGCATTAGTTAATGGATCCTTTGCCAGATCAGCTTGGGATATTGTTAAGGTCCTTCAACTTCCTTAAATAGAAACATTCAAGCAAATTCACCCAGGGAAATGGTTTAAGTCCTGTAATTAGGGCCTACCTTAAATATGAACACCCAGGTTGTGCCAATTATGGGAAATGGAGTAGGTCCTTTAATACCTTGCGCTGACCAATAGCCAAAGTTCCATGTAAGGTATCTAAAACATTTTAAATCAAATTAATTACATTGCATTCCCATTTGCTATCAATATTTTAATTAAAACTTTTGAGGGTCCCTCTTTTGATTTTCAGGACCCCCACCCCAATAATGCCCAACCTCTTTGACAAAATTGATCCTTATTCCTTAGCCTAAAGATAATACATTTCTCACCCAAACTCCATTAACTGATGAATGAGTTTACGTTACACAAAACATGTATTTTTAGGGATTGTTTATATTGTAGATTCTTAAAAACGTGCAGTTAAATACTGGCAATAGCGATGATCAGAAAACAAAAATTTGGGGATTTTATTTTAGAGTCACCCTATAATTTACATGCAATCAGATAAGAATGATTAACTTACACATAGAGCGCAGTTAATACACATACTATGACCAATAGTATATCTGAGACCTCCACTAGCCCAAGAATATTCATCTTCTTTCTGAAAAACACATTCAACAGACCCATAGCCAGGGGGAGGGTTTGAGCTGAGTTTGAGTTCTTTCAAAATCATGCAGTTTTTCAGAATGGCTCAGTTTCTTTCAAAATCATGCAGTTTTTCACCATTCAATTTCACTTTTCAATTGATTTTGGCCATTTTTGGGCCAAAGTTGTCAAAAGTGACCCCCTGGTTTATACCATTTTGCTGAAATAATACAATATTGTTCTGTTATTGTGTATATCCCATCCCACACTGTTGTATACATTGCTGTTATGCATATCGTGTTTATACCACTTTGCTGTAATAATACAATATTGTTCCGTTATTGTGTATATCACATCCCAACCTGATGTATACATTGCTGTTATGTATATCGTGTTTATACCACTTTGCTGTAATAATACAATATTGTTCCGTTATTGTGTATATCACATCCCACCCTGATGTATACATTGCTGTTATGTATATCGTGTTTATACCACTTTGCTGTAATAATACAATATTGTTCCGTTATTGTGTATATCACATCCCACCCTGATGTATACATTGCTGTTATGTATATCGTGTTTATACCACTTTGCTGTAATAATACAATATTGTTCCGTTATTGTGTATATCACATCCCACCCTGATGTATACATTGCTGTTATGTATATCGTGTTTATACCATTTTGCTGAAATAATACAATATTGTTCTGTTATTGTGTATATCCCATCCTACCCTGTTGTATACATTGCTGTTATGCATATCGTGTTTATACCACTTTGCTTTAATAATACAATATTGTTCCGTTATTGTGTATATCCCATCCTACCCTGTTGTATACATTGCTGTTATGTATATCGTGTTTATACCACTTTGCTGTAATAATACAATATTGTTCCGTTATTGTGTATATCCCATCCCACCCTGTTGTATACATTGCTGTTATGTATATCGTTTTTATACCACTTTGCTGTAATAATACAATATTGTTCCGTTATTGTGTATATCACATCCCAACCTGATGTATACATTGCTGTTATGTATATCGTGTTTATACCACTTTGCTGTAATAATACAATATTGTTCCGTTATTGTGTATATCACATCCCAACCTGATGTATACATTGCTGTTATGTATATCGTGTTTATACCACTTTGCTGTAATAATACAATATTGTTCCGTTATTGTGTATATCACATCCCACCCTGATGTATAGTACATTGCTGCTATGTATATCGTGTTTATACCACTTTGCTGTAATAATACAATATTGTTTCGTTATTGTGTATATCCCGTCCCACCCTGATGTATACATTGCTGTTATGTATATTGTGTTTATACCACTTTGCTGTAATAATGCAATATTGTTCCGTTATTTTGTATATCCCATCCCACCCTGATGTATACATTGCTGTTATGTATATTGTGTTTATACCACTTTGCTGTAATAATGCAATATTGTTCCGTTATTTTGTATATCCCATCCCACCCTGATGTATACATTGCTGTTATGTATATCGTGTTTATACCACTTTGCTGTAATAATACAATATTGTTCCGTTATTGTGTATATCACATCCCACCCTGATGTATAGTACATTGCTGCTATGTATATCGTGTTTATACCACTTTGCTGTAATAATACAATATTGTTCCGTTATTGTGTATATCACATCCCACCCTGATGTATAGTACATTGCTGCTATGTATATCGTGTTTATACCACTTTGCTGTAATAATACAATATTGTTTCGTTATTGTGTATATCCCGTCCCACCCTGATGTATACATTGCTGTTATGTATATTGTGTTTATACCACTTTGCTGTAATAATGCAATATTGTTCCGTTATTTTGTATATCCCATCCCACCCTGTTGTATACATTGTTGTCTTGTATATTGTGTTTATACCACTTTGCTGTAATAATACAATATTGTTCACAATGTTAAGTTATTGTGTATATCACATCCCACCCTGTTGTATACATTGCTGTTATGTATATTGTGTTAATAACTTTAGGTCCCCACTGCATGTACTGTGTACAATGTTTCTGTGTAGATTCATATATTGTATACAATGATGTTCTGTTATTGTTTATATTCCACACAGCTGTATACAATGCTGAAGAGTTGTATAACATGAATGTGTATAATTAGTCAGGCATAACATACAGCAGATATGTATTAACAGACTTACCCTTTAATTTAGCCTAGTAATTACTATCATATTGTAAGATAAGTGAACTTAGCCTTTGGACTACTCTATTTATTTCATGTTGGATCATAATTATAGTCATTTTAGACCAAATCAGTTTGCAAACATCCACTTTGTCGTGCAGTTTACTTTCCTACCTGGTGCTGGTATTGCAACACATTTCTAATCTATTTTTGTCATTTGCTTTTAGCATTATCAGAATATTTAGATTGGTTTAAGTGGGCTGCCCTACATAGATTAAATGTGTGTTGATTCATGTATTACTAATATTTCTAAAGCAGCAGTATACTGGTCCAATGGGGTTAAATGTATGGCATATCATACAATGTCAAGCTCAAGTGCCAACTAGATTCCCAAAAATCTAAAAGGATGAGAATCCTAAACCCCTTCTATCAGCCCATAAGAAATTGGACATGAAATAAGAACATGATCACTACATCATGGAAAAATGTAAAATATGGGTAAATGTTTCTGTATACATATGTACATCTATAGGTAAAGTATGCATAACTACAATGCAATACAATATAGTACAACAAGGCATTAACATGACAATATGTCACCAACTAGTTGCTCACAATATTATTAGTTCAATCTTAAGTTAGATTTGAATTTCTGAGAACTTGTAGATGATTTTGAAAAAAGATTGGTCAATTTGAAGTCCAAAATACCTTTTTTGACCTTGAGAACATCAATGAAGGTCAAATCTCAAATCTAAAGTCAGATTTGAACTTCTGAGAACTTGGAGATGATTTTGAAAAAACTGAAGTCAGTCTTAAACAGTTTAAGTTATTGAAAGTTTTAAGAATATGTTACAGACGCCAACCAACAACCAACTGCCGTCACAAAAAACGGAAACCATAACAATATGTCACCATTTTTTGGTGGTGACATAATAAAATACAATACACAATATATATAGACAGACTGTTTCTGTAGCTTTATATGTCATTTTTGCAAGTTTGATTCATTCAGTATATTTATGCATATTTTTTGACTCATATATTTTTTCCATCATAATTGATATATAATTCTTCCACTATAAATGAACATGTGTACAATGTTTTGATTAACAAACAAAGTAATATTCATGCCCAAAAATTATGGAGATTAGCTATTTTTTAAATCCTGGAGTCTTGTCAGCCTATTTATGTACATGTGGATGTATCCATTTTATAACACCAGAATATACATGTAATTTATCAATCAAACTATAAGTGCTTTTATTCTTTGTATTTATACATGTAGTTTTTATTTCATTTCATGATACTACATATACAGCAGGTAACAATCAATTATAGTTTAATTGTATGTCATTTGGTTTAAAAAGTACAATAACTTGAAGTAAAAATTTATTAGATTTTTTACTATTTTTGGAAGGATTATACAGGACCCAGTTTAGAGAAACCAGCCTAAACACTTGCATGTACACCTTTTTGGAAACATCTTTACCTTTTTTACAAACCCATTTTGGTAATACTGAGATCTGATTGGTCAAAGTGTAATGCCAAGCTATTTGTGTAAATTATTAGAAATTAATTGTCATTGCAATTTTATCTATCTCTATTTCAATACTTAAATGTGAAAAGGCATTAAGTACTATGTCATTGATTGCTCAACAATTTGTGTTTTCATGGTTTACATCGTGGCAAATATAAAGATTTATTACAAAAGAATCAGTATTTACAAGGTAGAAGAAATGTGATCAGAATGTCTTGCAACATATACACATTCACATGTCTTTTGATTCATTACTTTAACGTCTCTGAACCTTCAGGTATATGCCATTCTTTGCATGCATCTGACCAGTCTTGATAAGCGTTACTGGATCCTGAAAATATTTGGTTAAATCAGGGTTAGTAAATCAGTCTAAAAAGGTGTGATCCTTTAACATGCAGACTTGCAAACTATGTCTTTGACCAAATATGTCAGAATTTGATTTGAAAAATCACACTGCAAATTGGTCATGGCTGATCTACACACATTATTGAGTTATTTTGTGAATGAAATAAATATACAATACCTCTGTCTTCTCACTGGGTAGAAGCCTTAATTTCTGTATAATTTTGGCGAGACACAATTTCACCTCAACCTGGGCCAATCGCATTGCAATGCAAGACCTGGGGCCAAGTCCAAATGGTTGAAAGAAATATGGGTTGCGCTTAGCCTTTTCTTCTGCCGAGAATCTAGAATTCAAAACAAGATGTAATTCTAATTGGTATAATTGTGATATTTAAATGCTAAAAGGCAACGTCTAAGTTTCTATCTATGAGTTCATCCCTCGGAAAAGTTATCCTACTGAACACGGTATGTTGGTCAAGATTTGATATAGAGAAGTCAACGCCATTCACTCACTCAAGTACTAGCTTTCAGATTTGTGAAGCAAATAACCTACCTTTCAGGGATGAATTTTTCTGGGTCGGGGTATATATCAGCATCATGGTGTATTCCATACACAGGGATTGTTACTATGGCATCCTTTGGAATTGTTATTCCTTCAATCGTAATAGTCTCAGTACATTGGCGCTCCAACCTGACCAATCAATGTCATATTCATGAACATAATTATATATTGGTAATAAAACAATGCTACTTGGGATTTATCTACCGTTTATTAATTTAATATTTTTGATATTGTTGCAATTTTACCTGGGTGCAGATGGGAATAATCTTTGACTTTCTTCAATCACACTTTCTAAGTAGGTCAACTTTTGTAACATCTCATAAGTTATTTCCTCCTAAAAGAATACATTGATGTAATAAATGTTATTGTAATTGTTCGATATCATTTTTGGTATGTAATCAGCATTATTTCTACCCCTATATACGTCTGCTGTTTTCATTCCAGACAATGCGTTGCTTTAGGCAATATATTTTGAATCACTAACTAAAACAAATATATTAAAGTATTCCAAAATAGTTCAACGTCAGGAAGAAGGAAGAACACCTTTATTTATGGAACGCCTGTCTACAAGGGGCAGTTTTCAAAAGAATCAAATAATTTTCAACTGACTTACATGTTAACGATCCCTCTCTGTACGGGGCACTGTCAACTGGGAACAAGGAACTGTGGTTTATGGCAAAGTTTCAAAATGCACATGGAAAAGTGATTACACTTTACATTCCATTGTTTTTCAAAGGTGTGAATGGATTGAGTCAATATCTGATTCTTGAAAGCTTGGATTAAAATGAATGAGATAAGGATAAGCTAATGTTAACAGGACAGAACATCTCACCCACTGTTTAATTATTACCTCGCAATTATAATCTGTTTTTATTAACTGTCATAACACTAATGCTTTCTTTCAACAAACACAGTGACAAAGTTTGACTGCAACTGATGAGATAATCTAGGGATTGACACAATTGGGTTTTTTGGACGTAATAGAAATGTATTTGTGTCAACTTGGGCCAAATCTCTTTAATTTTTTAATGATCCAAACTTGAATATTAATGCAATAAAACCTTGCAACATCTTTCTATACATCACAGCAGTAATTCATCATCAACATATTAACAGAGGCAGAATAAAATGCTCGTAAGAATAAAACATGCATATTCAGCATTTTTTTAGTTGACCAAGAGTATGGACTCTTTCTATGTGAAACACCTGTCAAGAAGGAACAGTTTTGTCCAGTGCAGAGAGTGTTCCTTGTTCGAAGGTTTTACTGTATATGCTTAGTATTATTTTATCCATAACAAATATTCAAACACTACTAAGAGACACCGAATTGACAATATCAATATGTTTTAGTTGTGACTTCAAGTCTTACCTCACCATCTGTGACTTCCATAACCTCTTCATAAACCTTTTCTTGGATGTCCTGGTGAAGAGCCATTTCATAAGCAGCCCAGCTAATCGTAGTAGAGACTGTGTCATATCCAGCAAGGATAAATATGATTGCATTTGCCAAAATCACTTCATTTGAGAGTCCTGTAAGTTGTAAGAGACAATGGTAAACCTATTTTGGTTATTCTTCAAAATAATATAGTCATTCTGTATGAACGAAGGGGTGGTTTCCTTTTGATGTGATTGTGATATTGCTTCCTGGGTGATTTGTGAGGGCATTGGATATTACTTTTGTTTGCGTTAGTTAATAGTTTGGGATGCTTCAATAGTCTAGACGTGTATTGAGTATTGTTTGCAAAGTATATATTTTAACTAATGCCAGAGATGAATTTGCGTTAATAATAAATGTCCCCCAAGAGTATCACCAGCCCAAAAAAACAATATCCAAAAACCTTAAAAGCTAGTTCAAACGAAGTACTTCAAGTACAATCAAAAACATAAGGAATAAAAAATCAAGATGCAATTTTGCAGCTTACTTTTGTCTTCGTCCTCAACATCCTGAGTCTTCAGCATAATATTCAGGAAATCATTATTTTTCTAAAAAATAAACAAGTTTGTATACAGCTGAAATATGAGTCAGGAATATAAAAAGGGGTTTTCATCATGATTATTAAATGCCATGCTTTATTAATTTCATGTTTGTACAATACTTACGTTTGAATCAGCCTTTTTATTTGCTATGGCTTGGGTCATTATGTTCTTAAAGAACGCATCAGATTCGGCTGAAATTGCTCCCATTTTAGATTTCACAACCAATGGGCCCAACACAGGTGTCACTATTGCAACTTAAATTTAATCAATTATACCAGTATAGAAGACAGTTTGCACGTTTTAAAGGAAAAATCGGCTACGAACTTAGCGAGGTATGAGGAAAATTCTTTCAAATGAATTGAAACAGTGTACATATACTCTAAGAGCGAGGAGGAAAATTCTTAATAAATGGAGTATAGTTGGTTTGGCAGCATTTTCAGTTAGAGGGAAGTCTTGGATGAAAATTCTACCTAGGTGATAGCTTCACAGAGTGGTACATAATTCTTTTTTTTCAGGGGTTAGCCCCCCACCCCCCCCAAAACACCCCACCCCCGGAAAATAATTTTTTCAATCTCAATAATTTTAGATATCTTGATGTTTGTAAGTTACATACATAGACATTATATATATGAATCATTTGCAAAATAAATAATGCCAATCACTCCTACAGAACTTGGAAAATACTACAAAGTATGTACCCCAGGGGGCAAATTCGTGACCCATTTTCTTACTATTTAGAGCCTCACTTTTCAATCAGACACTGGAAGACATTGAAAAATTTCATGTGAAGTGCCCAGTAGCAGGGCTATAAGCCCTGAAAGGTTCAAACTAATTGAATTAGTAGGAGCCGAGAAAAAAATTGTTGATTTTTTGAAAAATTTGACATTTTTGAGAGGGTTGATTTTATGTATGACTATAGTTGATGCCTATGGTTTCCAGATCTACCCCTCTTTGATGATAAATATGGTTTTGAAGTATGGAACTAAGATGTAAAAATAATTAAAATGGGTTTTAAGGAAGTTTCATGTTTTAAACAAGTTCAAAATTCCAAGAATTGTACAATATCAGGTCTGAATTTACAAATTTTAGGCAAGACCTTGGATGAGCCTTAGATTTTTTACATCTGTCCCCCTTTGATGATATTTATGGTTTTGTAGTATGGAACTGAGATGTACAAAATAATTTAGATGGGTTTTAAGAAGGTTTAAGAATTTTACAAGTTCAAAATTTGAAGAATTGTACAATATCAGGTCTGAATTTACGAATTTCAGGCAAGACCTTGGATGAGCCTTATATTATTTTTACATTTCTCCCTCTTTGATGATATGTATGGTTTTGTAGTGTGAAACTAATTAGTAAAAAATAATTAAGATGGATTTGAAGAAAGTTTAAGGATTTTAAATGAGTCCAAAATTTGAAGAATTGTACAATATCAGGTCTGAATTTATGAATTTCAGGTATGACCTTGGATGACCCTTATATCTTTTAAATCCTTCCCTCTTTGATGGTATTTATGGTTTTTATAGTGTGGAACTAAGATGTAAAATATAATTTAGATGAATTCTAAGAAGGTTTAAGGATTTTTAACAAGTTCAAAATTTGAAGAATTGTACAATATCAGGTCTGAATTTACGAATTTCAGGTAAGACCTTGGATGGCTCTTATGTTTTTACATCTGTCACTCTTTGATGATATGTATTGTTTTGTAGTGTGGAACTAAGATGTAAAAAATGGTTTAGATGGTTTTGAAGAGTGTTTAGGGATTCCAATGAGTCCAAAATTTGAAGAATTGTACAATATCAGGTCTGAATTCTCGAATTACAGGTATGACCTTGGACGACTCTTTTGTTTTTTACATCTGTTCCTCTTTGATGATATTTATGGTTTTATAGTGTGAAACTAAGATGTAAAATATAATTTAGATGAATTTTAAGAGATTTAAGGATTTTAACAACTTCCAAATTTGAAGAATTGTACAATATCAGGTCTGAATTTGCAAATTTTAGGTAAGACCTTGGATGGCTCTTATGTTTTACATCTGTCACTCTTTGATGATATGTATTGTTTTGTAATGTGGAACTAAGATGGTTAAAATGATTAAGATGGTTTTGAAGAGTGTTAAGGGATTTTAATCAGTCCAAAATTTAAAAAAATTATACAATATCAGGTCTGAATTTTCGAATTATAGGCATGACCTTGGACGACTCTTTTATTTTTTACATCTGTCCCTCTTTAATGACAGTTATAGTTTTATGGTATGGAACTAAGATGTAAAATATAGTTTAGATGAATTTTAAGAAGGTTTAAGGATTCTAACAAGTTCAAAATTTGAAGAATTGTACAATATCAGGTCTGAATTTGCAAATTTTAGGTAAGACCTTGGATGAGCCTTATATATTTTTTTACACCTATCACTCTTTGATGATATGTATGGTTTTGTAGTGTGGAACTAAGATGTAGAAAATAATTTAGATGCATTTAAAGAAGGTTTAAGGGTTTTAATTTGAAGAATTGTTCAATATCAGGTCTGCAATAAATGAATTTCAGGTATAACCTTGTTTAGCCCATATAATTTTAACACCTATCCCCTTTCCATGATTTGGTTTAGTTGTGTGGAAATATGTATAATTTACATCGATTTTAAAGAAACTTAACATTTTAAACAAGTTCAAAATCTTGGCGTATTGTATAATATCAGATCTGAAATTAAAGAATTTCAAGTATAATCTTGGTTAGCCCATATGATTTTAACACCTATCCCCTTTTCATGATATATTTGGTTTAGTTGTGTGGAAATATGTATAACATAATTTACATCGATCTTAAAGAAGCTTAAAATTTTAAACAAGTTCAAAATCTTAGCGTATTGTACAATATCAGATCTGAAATTAATGAATTTAAAGTATAACCTTGCTTCGCCCTTATATTTTTAACATCTATCCTTTTTTGATGATATATATGATTTTGTAATGTGGAGCTAATATATAAAACATAATCAAGAGGGGTGCTTAAGAAGTTTAAGGTTTTAAATAAGTTCAATTTTTCACAAATTGTACAATATCAGAGCTGATATTAATGAATTTTAGGTATTATGTTTTTTACATCTATCCCTTTTTGATGTAATATATGCTTTAGTAGTGTCGAACTAAGATGTAAAACAAAATTTAGGCAGGTTTAAAGAAGTTTAAGGTTTTAAACAAGTTCAAATTTTGACGAATTGTACAATATCAGAGCTGATATTAATGAATATTGGGTATTTAGGTGAGCCTCATGTTTTTTACATCTATCCCTTTTTAGGTATAACTGTGAATGGCCCTTATTCTTTTTTTACATATATCTCTCTATGATAACATATATGGTTTTGTAGTATGAAACTAAGATGTAAAACATAATTTAGATGGGTTTTAAGGAGGTTTAAGGTTTTAAACCTGTTCAAAACTTGACAAATTGTACAATATCATATCTTCTGACATTAACGAATTTCAGGTATGTATCTCTCTATGATGATATATATGGTTTAGTAGTATGGAACTTAGATGTAAACATAATTCAAATGGGCTTTAAGGAAGTTTAAAGGCAGAATCAGATCTATGGGTGTGACAAAATTACAAGCAACATGTACAGTTCATGTACCAATCTATTCCTTACAATCTCAAATACAATATCTCCAAAAAGATTCACGATGTGTTAAGTTTAAAAGCAGAATCAGATCTATGGGTGTGACAAAATTACAAGCAACATGTACAATTCATGTACTAATCTATTCCTTACAATCTCAAATACAATATCTCCAAAAGATTCACAATGTGTTAAAAATTGATGAAGTAATAATGGATTCAAAAAGCAAAAATGGGTGAAAAATGTTTAAATTCTCCCAAAATAATAAGAATGGTAACCATTCTTATGGAAAAAATACATTATTGTAGAAATCTTTGGTTTTCCTGAAATAAAGGATGCACTTTGGGGATTATAAGCAAATAGACATGAAAAGGAATGACATAAGCCAGAAATATTCAAAAAGGTCCATGTGCAGTATGGCAAGTGATTTTAGACGGTGATAAATTTCACCATGAGTACTTTCTGTGCATAAATACAGTGGTTTTTATTAAAAAAATGTTTTCTTTCAAGTGAAGTCCCCATGAAAAATTATAAATTGGGACCCCATGTCAACAATTTTTTCTAAATGTTTAGAGCCAACCAAGGTTATACTTGAAATGTAGTGTTAATTGCTGAATTAATATTGTACAATGCGCCAAGATTTTGAACATGTGAAAATCCTTAAACCTTCTTAAAATCCATCTTAATTGTTTTTTACATCTTTTTTACATCTTAGTTCTACACTACAAAACCATACATATCTTCAAAGAGGGACAAATGTAAACAATATATGGCTCATCAAAGGTCTTACCTGAAATTCGTAAATTCAGACCGGATATTATACAATTTTTCAAATTTTGAACATGTGAAAATCCTTAAACCTTCTTAAAATCCATCTTAATTGTTTTTTTACATCTTAGTTCCACACTACAATACCATACATATCTTCAAAGAGGAACAAATGTAAACAATATATGGCTCACCAAAGGTCTTACCTGAAATTCGTAAATTCAGACCGGATATTATACAATTTTTCAAATTTTGAACTTGTTAAAATCCTTAAAGTCCTTAAACGTTCTTAAAATTCATCTAAATTATATTTTACATTTTAGTTCGTTACTATAAAAGCATAAATATCATTAAAGAGGGACAGATATAAAAAACATAAGGGTCATCCAAGGTCATACCTTAAATTCGTAAATTCAGACCTGATATTGTACAATTCTTCAAATTTTGGACTCATTAAATTCCTTAAACCTTCTTCAACACCATCTAGGTTATTTCTTACATATTAGTTTCACACTACAAAACCATAAATATCATCAAAGAGGGACAGATGTGAAAAATATATGGCTCACCAAAGGTCTTACCTAAAATTCGTAAATTCAGACCTGATATTGTACAATTCTTCAAATTTTGAACTTGTTAAAATCCTTAAACCTTCTTAAAAACCATCTAAATTATTTTGTACATTTTAGTTCCACACTACAAAGCCATAAATATCATCAAAGGGGGACGGATGTAAAAAATCTAAGGCTCATCCAAGGTCTTACCTAAAATTTGTA